TTATATATAATAATATTATAATTATATAATTTATTATAAATTTTTTTAAATTAGCTAATCAGAATTGACTTACGTGGGGGGAGGGGGGTACCTCTATAGTAAAATAATATTACATAATATATGTCACCACCCTTATTGATATTTATTAATTTTTTTTTATTTTTTTTTATTTTTTTTTTTTAGATTCTATGAATATTTATTATTCCAGACCTACCAATCATACACTATATAAATTGGTTTTTAGACAATATCTCTTACGCCACTTTAATATAATTGAAGAATAGAAGCAATATAATATTAATATAGAGAAAGATTTACCCAATAGTATCATTGAGGATAAGGAAATTTCTAAAAATAAAGCTAATAACTTATTCAATAAATATGGTAATTTTAATGAAATCATTCAAATTAATAATACAGGAAAAAGTAGTACTTTAATGCACAAAAGTTCTTCAATAGTAGCTTCTCTATCAAGTTCTCGATCTTTAATGCCATTTTTTGATATTATGCAAATGGACATCACTATAAAAGAAAATAGCATCTCACAAACAAACAAATCTTTGCTAACAACTTCTCCATTGAATTCCTGATCTTTAATATAGTTTGTTAATATAGTACAAGAGAATAATTCTGTTATAGGAAGGTGATTATACAATACAACTACAAACTACTTTCAATGGTTAGCAAATATAATCTACCGCAGATAATACTAGCAAGCAAATAGTTTCCATGCAAGATGACTTTACAAGTAATCGAGAAAGATTTATAAAAGACAAGGTTGTTATAAGATTTATTTTCTTTATGATATCGTAAATTTTTATTAATTACATTTTAAATTTTTATTTATAAATAGAAAAATCAAAACTTTATTTATTTAAATGATTATATTCCTTTCAAAAAATGTTGTATCTGGGCTATTCAAGAAGTTTCAAATAATCTAACTTTTTAGCATAACATTTATTGACAAGTTACAAATAAAAACCTTGAAGACTATTGTTCCAAAATGAAATATCAGATGTATACAAAATACAATATTAATGAACATGTTTATAAAGTTGGTAACTTAATAAAAATTTAGATTGCCAAAATTGACCATGGGCCTAGTGATCATTGCACACTCTCTTGCAAAGTATTCACAGTGCTTTCTAGAAATATGTATCATCTTGTATATCAGTTTAGTGTTTTTGATCAAACATTTTCAGCTGGTGTGGTTTTACTACTTGGACCAAAAGAATTTCCAGAGCTGGATAATCCTCCAACCACCACAACTATCAGTATGATTGAAGCTACAAGGTTGTAATTTAATACTCTTGCTAGTAACAAAGGATATAATTATAAAGGCGATTGCTTTACAGCAAGATATAGTTACAAAAAAGCAAATATTGTGTATAGAAGTAGATGTTATCCAAAGAATTTAAAATGTAAGCATTAAGCTTAAGTTAATAACAGAGAAATAGAGTTTTTTTATTTAAATTATATATTTGTAGCGTTGTATTATTATATTGTCTGGATAGCTAATTTAAGTTAACAATAAAAATCTGATTTTAAGTATTAGTAGTTTAGTAAATGATATTCTTTCTATTTACTTAATACATGTTTTAATTAATAATATTCAAATATCATATAATGCATCTTTAATAAATGTAGCTTTTACTGAAAAAAAAATTGAACAACTAAACGTGCTTAGATCGATAATTGATACTATATACATATGTAAAAGTAATTTTTGATCTGGGTAACCCATATAAGAATTCTAAATTAGGTTATCCCGATTCTGAATTAGGATAGCCAGATTCCAGATTGGGCAGATTCTAATTTGAGGTACAACATATATGTTATAACCAAAAAAATCGTAAGCGTTTGTTACAAATTAGTTTTGCTAATTAAAATTTAAAACTGTAATTGTATAAAGAAATATTTCATTCTATTGTATATAAAGTTTTATTGTAAGATTTTGTGATAGTTTTAATGCTGATGCTTTTTGAGATCAGTTTTTGTTATTATGACCAAAAAAATTATGAATATTTGTTACAAATTGGTTTTACTAACTAAAATTTAAACCTAATTATTAAAAGAAGGTTTTTATTATATTATAATTAAAAATTTTAGTGATAATTTTAATACTAAATTATTTTAAGATTTAGCTTTTATTGCAGTTAAATATTTAACTAAAAAAATATGCATATTTGTTTTGAATTAGTTTTTGTTAAAAAAAAATTTAAAAATATAGTGAGAGTAACTTTGAAAATAGTTTTCACATATAATTTTTTGTATATTATCATTTTATATCATCATTTTCATATATCATCATAAGCCTGATTTTTTTTAACCAACATACCTACAGTTTCTAAATGCAGAATACAATTAAAAAGTATATATGAATTAGCAGCCAAAAAGTGTGAGATAAATCTACACCAAAAGCTTATTAATAAGATAACCAAATACTTGAAAAAAATTACTATTTATGAACTTAAAATAGTGTATGATAAAATTTTTAATAACTCAAATATTAATACATCTATATATAATACAATCATTTATACTTTTAACGTTATGCTTGATTCAGATCTTAAGTTAACATCTTATCTTTTGTGTACTATGAAATATTTATACAGAAAGAATCAAAACTGAATTATATTCCTTATATTCAAAAAAAAGTATCTAATTATATATTTGATACCCTTTATAAGACTAGAAAATCAATACATGAGTTAAACTATAATAACAAGCAACTCAAACAAAAGGTTCAAAAATTACAATGTTTTGAAGATCATGTAGTTCATAAAGTTCGAAAGCTTAATAGGTCTGTTGCACAATTTAAGCACAAGTACCACTAATGTATATTCTAAATTCGTATAGTAGCCAGACATTCACCAGAATTAAGAGATGATAATATAAAGACTATGATTAAAAATATAGTAAAAAAGAATAAAAAAAGAATATAGTACAGACTTTATAAGACTTACTCTGCAATTTTCTCAAATCGGCCAAATATTCTTTAATACTACAGTGGCTACTGTAAATACTATTTTTAATTTTTTAATAGAGGATGATATGGAATTATGAATTTCTGCAGCAACTATTAGTCGTTAGCATTATGAAATATCAGAATTATATATAAGAAATATATTCCAGCAAGACAATCAGTCAAGTTATTTCATATTTGGAATAATAGCTGATAAGTCAGATTAGGGTGAAAAAAAATATTAGTAAATTGTTTTATATTTTAGAATTTAATAAAAAATATACCTAACATCTTACTTTTGGAGACAAAAGATCTTTAACATTGTAATTCTAATACAGTTAGCCAAGCACTTTTTGAATCTTGTACAAAATATGATATCGATATTTCACAATATCTTACTTTTCTTTTAGATAACACAAATTATATAAGTACAGTACCAGATAGCAAGAAACATCCACTTTTTATATATAAATATAAAAATGCTTATAACTTGCAAACAAATGAAT